GCATGCTGGCTGGGGGATTCTGGGAGTTGAAGTCCATACATCTTAACATTGCTGAGCTTGAGAAACACTGGCTTACAAGCATGCTTTCAGAGCTTGGTCCTCTCTTCTGTTTTATTACTTCCCTTATTGCTTTTGTTTGTCTTTCAGCATCTTCATTAAACTTTCAATACCACATATTCAGAGACAGACCACAGATGTCATTTTTATATCTGGATGAAACTAGAGACTTACCGCGCTTGCTCTGCCTTGGAGGGTTCTCCTTGCAAATACAGTCTCCTTTGCTATGTCTACATGACTATTCCCTGTAATATTGCTTTTAGTGCCTGATTGGAATGGAATGAATGGAGAACAATGTCTATAAAATTATGCATGCATTTAAATCCCACCTATCCCACTCTTTCAAGGGACTCACGTTTGCTTATACAACCCAACATCATCTTCATCATTTCTTTTGTTCTCCTCCTCCTCCTGCTGAAAATATTGAATTCCAGAATTAATGTGATTCCAGAATGAATGGGAGTCCAAATCCTGTGCATTGTGTGTGTTACTTACAACACAGCTGTGCATTTTCCTTATACATTCATGCATATTTTGCTGCCCAGAGTTGAATTCATTAATGTAAAACTGTAGACTGAGAAAACCCCTAAGAATGGGGAACTTGACAGAACTAGTGCATAGGAGGTTATTCTAGAAAAAGTTGACATCGTACACTACTTAGTGTGGATAGCTAGCATGCAGTGTTGTTTGCATGGAGTCCTAATTTTTTAAATAATTTCTGGTTGAACAGAAGATAATTTTTAAAGAATTTAGAGGGGTTAGATTGAAGATGGAATAGTATGAAAAAGACAAGAAAGAGGGAATGAGCAGATACATGCATGGCTGACATTTGAACACTTTTCCACTTAAAATGAAACAGATTTTTGAAAGAACCAAGAACTCTCCTTCTAACTTTAAGGCTCATCCTTAAAGTTGTTACGTGTTCATCCCGTCCCACAATATGGTCATTTCTTAAGCCAGCTTCATTTCCAGCCAGTATTGCACAGGCAAGAAACAGCTTGAGGCTGCCTTGTGGAATTGACTAACAACTGCATTCAAGTCATGTGCTAAGCCATGGTTTATTGACTAAAACACAGTTGGGTTTACACAACAATGCAACCTATAAGTCATGATTTCCCAATCACAATGGTTGAGTCCACACAACACAAAACCATGTCCAGGCAAAATTGTAATGTGTTGGGTAAGCTGTGCTTGTACTGGTCCCCACAGCTGTGGCTGGCTTCATGGCAAAAAAGCAACTCAAATTGTCACCCCAAGTATCTGACCCTCAACTAGAAGAATTGTGGAATATCTCCACGATCTCAATTGTGAAAGTTCTACAAGGCAGCATCCTGATATGATTAACTGATCTATGATTTACAAATTAACACACTGCTGAGGTTCTCGCATGCTGAGCTAGTTGAACTAGTTAAGATCTGAGCTCTGCGGAGGGGAGGGGAAACCCCTTGGTGGTGTGGAGGAACAGAGCTCAAATCCTGAAGATTTGAGCTCCATTCCTCCAGTCCCAGGAAGGATTTCTCTTCTGTCCATGAAGGGGAGGGCAAACCCTTTGGGGGGCTTTAGGAATGTTTGAGAATGAAAGGGCTGCCTGCCAGGAGGATTTCAGCTCTGTGCTGAGCTAAAATCCTTCAGCAGACAGCTCTTTCACTCTGTCTGCTTAACAACCCAGATCGCTTAACAACCACAACTGGGAGTGCCCAGATTGTGACCATTGAGCAAAGCACTCACGTGGGCATCTCGCTTAACAACCACTTCGCTCAGCAATCAAGATTCTGATCCCAAATGTGGCCTTTAGGCGAGGACTACCTGTATTAAAATTGCACAAGGAAAACTTCCTTGAAATAAGAAGTGACCATTTCATTTTAATATTTGAAAAAAATATTTCTAAGGAAAAATGCTGGGGTTGGGTTGCTTCTCTTCCTGTCCTCTCCTGGTCTCCTAGGTCCTAGGACCGAGGTCTTAACCTAGTATCTCTAGATGTGTTGTGCTAATAGCCTTCAGTTCTGGCTAGAAGCCCACGCTGGCAAGAAATCCTTGAAGTCAAAATCCAACTGATCTGGAGTACAACACGTTAGAGAAGGAGAACACCCTCAGACGACTACCACTCATCCCTTTCTGCAGATAGATGGGGATGTCTACTTCTCCCTGAAAAGGATCCCTTTCCTCCTCTTGCAGCGTTGTCCCGCCCAAACAGCGGCTTGTTCACAGCAGAACAGCCACTCAAAATACAAGCAAGAGGGGGACAGCACTGTTCGAGGCCTTTCCTTGCAAACTGAGTTGCTGTGATGACTAAGTTTTTAATGCCTGCAGGTCTAGCGACAGTGGTGGTGAACTGAAAAGGCGTTTGCCAACCCAAATCCATGTACAGGAAGTTGAAGAGTTGTTTTTTTTAAAGGGCAACCTTGACAAAGAAGCACAGCTCCCCTGCCCCCCACTTCCCACTGTTTTCCTATAACATTTCCAGCATCTCCTGGAACAAAATTGTTTCTCTAGACAGGTCAATATGTTATATAACATGAACTCTGGGCCTTTTCCATTCTCTCCATGAGAAACCAATTTTAGCATCTTCTGAGCTTAATTTCCCCCTTAAACAGATCATCTCTTTCCTCCTGATCTGCCCTAAACTGCAAGGCTTGAGAATTATTGGCTCTTCTCTTACCCCAACCTACTGATCTTTCCCTTTTGCATGGTAAATAAATAGTAGTAACGAGCTTGTGATTAACTCTGATTTTTCTTCTGTTCTACCTGCAGGATGGATTAAGCTGGACAACGTTCTTCTAAAACTGGACCGGACTGAGAAAAGGATGTGACTCTTCATTCATTGCCATGGAATTCCTGCCCATATCTATTTAGTATCTTGTGATACTAGTGTAATACCGTATCATGTGAATTTTGCTTTCCATATGTTTTTAAATATATATATTATGATTTTTTTCAGGACCAAGGGTGGTATTATTATTACTTTTACTACTATTACTATTCTAAATCCAACTAACTTCCATTCTTTCCTTAGCCCACCTTCTAATCCTTTCTTGGTCCATCTGAATCTAATGTATGTATAATACCCTTGAGATTTGTGAGAGCATGGCAGCGCATGCTTGAGAAAGTTGCATTGGGTGAATAACTTTTACGTTTAAGCTTTGAAGCCAGACAAGCAGTAAGGTGGAACTGAGAGGAATAGCTGGGGCAGGTTCTAGATAGGGAGAGTTGAACAGGAAGGAGGGCTCCTGGGTTCTGTGGAAGGGCATGAATTCTTCTGGGGCATGAGTAGACTCAAATACCGTGACTCAATCAATAAATGGAGAAAAAAAAAACTATACTCTTTTATTGGTAACTATAAATGCATCGGAAGATTGCAATATCACGTTAGGCAGGGGGTGGAGCTGGGGGAGGCGCTGGGGGAGGTTCTGCTGGTGGAGCTGGTGGAGCTGGTGGAGGTTCTCCTGGTGGACCTGGTGGAGGTGGTGCTGGTGGAGGTGCTCCTGGTGCGGCTGGCGGAGGTGCTGGTTCTCCAGGTGGTGGTGGTGGTGGTGGTGGCGGTGCTGGTTCTCCAGGTGGTGCTGGTGCTGGAGCTGGCTCAGGCGGTGGCGGTGGTGCTGGTGGTGGTGCTGGCGCTGGCTCTGCTGGTGGAGGTGGCGGTGGCGGCGGCTCTGAAGGTGGTGGTCCTCCTGCTGCTGGTGCTGGTGCTGGTTCTGGCGTTGGTGCAGGTGTTGCTGGTGCCGCTAGTTGAATTGGTTCTGGACTTACTTCAGAAGCTGGCTCTGGACTCCACTGTTGCTCTGCTCCTCCTCCTCCTGGCTCTGGTGAATAACTTCCTTGGGCCCAGGTATCTAGCAGCTCTTGTCCCTTGTATTCGTCAGCCTCGCTTTCCTCATCTAAGAGTTTGACTAAGTAATCAGCCATTTCACCTCCACTTCGTGATGGCTCAGATATTTTTTCCTTCCTCTGCAAGTCCTTAAATTTCCTGTGTGGGAAAGAAGAACCTCAGAATGTGGGACAGGAAGTAAAGTGTGTGCCTGTGTGGATTTGTAATTTTCTTACATGCAGGTGCAGTAAGGAACTCTGAACAGGATGGGAGATGTCCTCCAAATGTCTGGGGTTAAGGCACATTGAACCAAAATGTATGTATGATAGGATCAGAACGCAGAAGCACAATCCTTTCCACACTGGATGTCTTCTACTGACATCACCCATATCCTGTTCAGAACTGCACTGCTAGTAGTAACTGGGAGGGGGGCAAAAATTCAATATGGCATCTGTGTACATGCATCACATGGGCACAGACACCATCTTGATTTTTGTTTTTATCTCCCTCATCACCACCCACCCCTTTGTGGACAGTTCCGGCAGTACCCAATGCATTACGCTGATGTGTGGCTGTATTCTTCTATCGCTACAAATACCTCAGTTTTTAACTGCTCATATGCTCCCGCTCATTTATGGTATTCATTTATATTTTTGTCACTGCCTATTTTCACTTTGAAAACTGTTCCAAAGGGATGGAGTGGGGGGAAGAGCGGCTGTCTAACCGACACAAGGGGCAGCCAATCAGCTTGATGCACAGCCATACTCTGC